GGGGGGGGACCAACCGCCGAACTTTAACCCACGCATGTGAGTACCCGGTCTGGGTCCCTCTTCCCAGGGGTTCTCACCCCATTCGTGCCTGATGCATGCAGCCTGTCCCGAACAAGAGGGGTGTTATGGGGATGCAGAATGAAACAAGATAGAGGATAAAAGGGCCGAATGCGCGTGCGCGAATCACGGTTTGTGCTTCATACAACAAGAAGTCAGTCAATATTGCTAGTTATGATGTAAATAAGACCTGTAATTAAATAGCTTAAGAAAGGTCCCGTAACTGAGTATGTGATTTTCATTTAACATCTCAAACCCACTGATGAATATACAAGAACACCCCGAGAAAGGCCGAAAGCACGAGTACATAACGATATTTGGTTTCGCAAACGCTTTGAGCACCATCACGGCCAACCCTCGGGAGATTGAAGTACTACAAGTGAGTGCTAGGGTGACAATTTTGCACGGCTATTTTGGCAGCACTTAAACGTCATACCAACATTCCTTGACGCAATCAACCAATTGCGTATTAAGGAGCACATTGATTACATAGGGAAAATATGTTGCCTAGAGCACTCTTTCCCAATGTAAACAAATAGTAATGACAGCTTTACCTCATACCTGACGATTGCTTCAGTATATTCAACGGTAGAACATCCACTTTGAGAACACCAGGAGAAGTAAAATCGTTGTGCTCACTCACTAGCAGGCTTTCCTCATGCCACCGGATGACAACTCATATGGGCGGCTCATATAGCACTTCTCACACCACCCAGCGTACAGCGCGGCGTTGACTGCCTCACACCACAACCGGCACTGATGACTTAAATTCTGCAGCACTCCAACCGCATCCTCTCCGTGCCATGCACACCTACAACGCGATCATAAAAGATGGACCTGGCGAGCTCAGTTTGACTTCGACTGCTGAATTTCTGCCGCGGGTGTGCTCTGCGCCATGAGCGGGTCATTGAATTCGTCGGCGCGACGGCGCCATCCGAGCCAGGGCCGCCAGGAGCCATCGGAGTTGAGGCCGCCAAGAGCGTGCCACACCCCGACACGAGATAGCGGATGCGCCAGTGGGCCCGCTCGTCAATGGTCGCAGTGCTCGTCCGTTAATTAGCCGCCCCCCCCCCCCCCCCACCCGGATGGAGGCCCGTCGTCCGCGCGGCCGTGAGATAGGCCCGTCGTCCGCGCGGCCGTGAGATAGGCGCGTCGCCAGCGGCCCGGCCGGCGACGGCGGCTCTCCCCCCCCCCCCCCCCCCCCGCTCTCCCGCCCTTCCGACGCCACAGCGAGAGGGGCGGACGGCTCGCCTGTGACCGGTAGCGCGGCCCGAAGAGTCGCGCCGGCCGCCTCGCGCCAGGCGACAGCCAGTGCGTCCGTCGGCGATGCGCTGGGCGCGCCTGTGTGGCCCGCTCAGGACCGGCCTCGCGAGGGTGCTGAGCGGATCGGATGGGACCGCGGGGCGGTACTGCTCTGAGCGCCGCCGGCCCGCGTTGGATCGTAACTCAGACGTCCAGCCGAGACTTCATGGGGGGGGGGGGGGGCGGGGGGCGACGTAGCTGTCCTGGTCCCAGCCGAGCTGCGATCGCTGGCAGCGGAGCTGTCGTCAGGCGTCCCTGATCGCGGTGGTAGACGTCCCTGATCGCGGTGGCAGACGTCCCTGATTGCTGGCGGGGGCGCCCCTTGTCGTAGTGGAAGGCGTCCACGGTTTTTACCACACGACGGAATGAGCGTAGCGGCACCTCGCTAAGGTGTGGGGTACACTCGTAAGGATGTGTAAAAACGCCCGCCCGAGGGGCTCTCGGGGTGTCACCAAGCAGAAACACGAACAACAGGATCACATATTCCAAAATCCAGCGGGCTGCTCGGTTTATCATTTCGTTACATGTTGAGGAGACAGCTGTCGACTCTCGTTACAGTTCTCGCGCTCCCACTAGTGACAGTCACTTGTGCTCAGCCTCAGGAGCGACGGCGCTCTTTGACCCCTGGCATACCAAGGGTTCACTGGAGGTTGCCAGCCTCTGCCATCTACTGTTGGTTGCCAGTTACTGCCAGCCAGTGTCAAACAGTACCATCCGATGGTGGCTGACATGGTTATCACACCTTCGAAAGTTACGCTGAGTTATGATTTATCCTCCTTTTCACGCGATGAATTAGCTTGAAATATACTGTGAGAGTGAACATCTGCCCCTGTCCCCGAGAATTAGGAATTCATGGAACCGACTTTGGCGGACAAGAGGGAGAGAGAACTTTGTGGTCTGAACTAGCCGTTTTATATGCACTGAAGAAGGAAGACTGACGCGTTCGGGAGGGCCATAGCTGGGTTCAGTCTAACTTATTTGTTTCACCTGAACGAGGCGGGCTATTTTAATTCCGTCGCGAGTGTAGCATCTTGCAAACGGGCCGATAAAGCATTCGATATCGAGCACAGCGTTACACCGCCAATAGTATCCTTCGTCCTCTACTCTATTTTGCGATACCTGCATTCGCCATTGAGAGCCTCCCAGACCACGATGCAATAGGAAATACCCGAGGGGAGTCGAATCGATCCGTCTTGTGAAACTAGGGTCCATCAGTCCGGGAAGCATGGCCGCCGGCAACAACGGCGCTCCCGGCATGTTGGGCGTCCTCTCCGATGGTAGCTGGGTCGCTGGCGACAGTCGTTGAGGTCGGCACACTGCGGCGATACGGTGGTGTTTTATCGAGCCGCGACCGCAGGCACCCCTTTCTGTGAGCCGCGCTGAGCAGTTCCCGGTGCCGTCAGCCCGCGGCCGCGCGGCGGCCGGCGTCTGTTCCGGTCCGGCCCGCATCGGTCACCGAGCCGATCTAACGTGGCGTGGCAGCCGGATTTGCGAGCCCCCGGGACTGGGATTCATTGGGAAAGTGCCCGCCGGCTACCGGCCGAGTCAGGTTTCAAGTTATGGATCGCAGTGGCGCGGCGGCAGTCGCGGCAAATGGCTCCCGGGGCGGCGTGACGCCGCCGGCGTCATGGCGCACGCGGGGCATCACCGCCATGGTTCTTGTCATGGGGACGTCAATGTCATGAATACTATGCAGTGTTTGACTTGAAAGGTCAATTTTTAAGGGGCGAGTGAGGGTGGGAAAGACAGACCAAGCACGCGCTATCCGGCCAGCATCGTTGAAAATAAGTGAGCATTTAGGTTGGTATCTTTCGCACACTCAGTATGGTCTTGAACTAGAGACGCAGGCCATCTTCCGGCGTTCAGCGGCTGAGCATATCAGCTGCAAGACGGAAGCAAGTGTGGGTCATTCCGGAATTTGGAGTAGTGCGTTTGTGTTCAGGGTGTCGTCATAGAGGTGCACTCCTAGGCAGATGCACACGGGCAATACAAATCAAGATTGTTCAAGTATAAAAACCTGTGTATGCAATAAGATAATAAACACGTGCAACAAATGGTAACGTGTAATAAATAGGTTATGACAAAATAAAAACCATAACATATACACTTCCTAATAAATGCTTTCTAGATATAGAGTAGCTTTTATGAACTCGACATTTAAAACGAAACACACTGTAGGTTGGGGAACTGATCATCGCTTACAGGGATAGACACCCTTTAAGGCGAATAAGTGTGAAATGAAGATATTACTTTGATATCATGTTATCTGACTATTTAAAGCGCAAAAAACCATCAAGCCAGAAAAGGTCTTCGTGGGCCCTACGGACCCAAATTTGGTTGCGGGATGTTACCGGCCTTTTTACGTCATAAATCACTCGCCTTGCTGCGTTCCACATGGATGCAAGTCAGTTCCTCCACATGGATGCAAAGCAGCAAATCTTCTATTCTTATGATTATTTATAGGCGGTCATAATACTAAATCAACCGATCATAACACTTGGATCAGGGGTGTAGTTTCGTATTCAGTTGGTGAGGGAGGGTGGGGGGGGGGGGGGGGGGCCTGAAGCCCATAACTTTGGGACCAAGAGAGAAACTTGGTTATGTTTGGGGGTAGGTCTTGTCCTTTTTCTTGTTAAGGTTTAACATCACATTTTGTCTTGTTTAACCCTCTAATGCATGGTTATGAAACTACGCCCCTTCCATGAACACTTTTACTGCATCTCATTAAATCTAACAGCTTACTCATTTCAAATCGCAGCACTATTGGCAGAAACTATTCCATGTAGTGGCTGCATGTGAGGGGTCGTAACTATGGCTGACCGTGACTGTAATCATATATTTTTTTTACACAATTTGCGTTTGAGCAAAATTCAACTGAGGGTACTTTACAACACTCAATTGGACAAAGTGAAGCCTGCCCGTTCCCCATAAGGAAATCTAGCACCCGTCCCTGAATAAAGATGAGTGTTAACTGGGATTATATTATGAGATGAAATCATTGACCCGTCACATGCTTTACATGGCCATCCAGATGACGTTATTTTCTCTAAATTAGTCCGCAAGAACGCCGATCGCTCGAGCGGCGCTGGGATCCAGGCCCTTGCTAAGCATAACTCGTGTGCGCAATGGCCTCGCGGCCGAAACGGTCTGCGGTCTCGCTGCAGAATGATCCTGAGTGAGCCAACGGTGTCTGGTGACGTCATTATACGCCTGCCGTGGAAAATGCTCAACTTGTTTTCCGTTCGTTGGGGCAACACTGTGTTTGGACGGCAGTGACGCCGACGTCCGATTGTGTTCTGATCCAGCGACATTTGTTCTCGCTTTGAAAACAGCTTGAACCGCTGCGCTGGATGTGACACGGATTTCGTCGGCTGCACTCGAGTATGTTGCGTAACGCCATATGCCACCATTTGCTGGCGGGCAAAGGCGAAATGTGTTGTGTCGGAAACAGCGCATAAAAGTCCTCGTTTTCCAGCCAGTCGCCGATCGGATCCGTCTTCTGCTTCAAGAACTGAGCTGGGCAAACTGCGCGCCTTTCCCACTACTCACTGATCTGACGCATTCTTTTCCAGGATACGTTGCGACAGACACACTCTGCGTGTTTGCCGTCTGTCACTGATCCGGTGCGTTCTTTGTTGCAGCAGACATAGAGCTGGATAAACTGCGCGTCTGTCCCATCTGTTCTGCGAGGAACAACGGCCACACTGGCTCCCCTCGTGCCAATCTGCGCCACCAGATTCAGTACAAGCCAATGGCGAACGGACCGCTACAAAACGTACCCGACGTGCAGCTATAGTGGCCCTGCACGCTCACCTTCCTCCAGTGCCGATGACGCGGCAACCGTGCTTAGTCAGCCTGATATTCGCGTGCCACGTGTTGCGTGTCGGTGAGAAAGTCAAGAGCGAGAGCGTCCCATGAGCTCTGTGACGAGACAGTTCGGTGGAGCTCCGGTGTGTAGACAGTTCAATGGAGCTCCGGTGTGTAGAGTTGTAACGTTTTGTGTAGACTGACCTACCGCATCGAATGCATGGATGCATTGTAGATTGCTGGGCGGACCGATTATTGAAGGGATCGTCGGAATTTGTACGGTTTGTAGCGTTGAGGGTTGAGAGTCGCAAAAAGAAAGTTTCGAATATGTTACGAGCACATACGCCATGTCTTCATATGAAATTGCGGTGTTTACGCCTTCTGACTTTACGATATACGATAAATCGAACCAATGTGGCGGGATGCATGTCTTTTATTTTATGGATTCATCAAGCCCATTTGTTGTTATTAAGTGTAACTTGATGCTACACATATTTGTGATCAATTATTTCATCGTCGATTGCCATCTGCTTATCTAAGCAGTGTACGAAATGACCTGGTTTCAACATCGGTGTTCTTTCTTAAACGTTTGCCCGTTATGGTGTACATGCACATTTATCACAACATTTCGGTCCGCGACAATCACAGCTAAAACAATTTTGTTGCCATCCCGGTTAGGGCGGGAGTCGCCGCATCTCAGTGATACGGATCTGGATCTATTGCGATCGCGCTATTCCATGTTTACGTATGCAGGGCTGTTTTCAGATTCTAGTAAATGGATGAAGGCTTGCCATACCATGAAGGTTTTAAACCACTTCCTGATTTTCATAAAATTATCAACATTTGTGGTTTTGTGAAACAGTCTCTTAAGCATACCAGAGAGGTAGGATCCTTGAAATCGCTCAAAATGCCACCAGTAATGTATTAGCAGAACGTGGCTGTTACATATATAAATGGGATAGGATTGCGGAATAAAGCATGACATTGAACAGGTCATGTGCAAAAAACCGTTCGAAGAGATCGCATGTCATCAAACATACTAGACAAACGTCGTATGACACAAAGTCTTTCGTACAAGATGGTAAGCGAATAATCGTGGAAATTGAAAGCAAGCAAAATATTTACCGGACGAACATTATAAGGAAACGAATGGCGTGAATAAGTGCCGGATGACAAAAGTTCACAGGATTAAAACACGCAATACAATGTAAACAGATAATATTTCGGAACAAATTTCGCCCGGAGAAAGATCGCAAGGGTAAATATTGCGTCGCAGAGGGTCAGAGTTGCAAAACGTTGTATACAGCAAACCATGAGCTTAACATCGTGCTGGGTAGATGTTGTCAGTGATATATATCGTGAAAAACCTATCAATGTTGACACTGATAACGGTGGAACACACTATTACACCATGTGAAAGATATTCACGGAAGCGGACTTAAGCCACATACCTGGATGAAATCAACTTAAGTGGCTGCAAGTCTTCACAAACTACAATGTCAGTACTACGCGGCATTTAAATTTTAGCCTTTGAGTACATTTTGTTTTTGCCAGTTTTTGAGCATTTGGTGACCAGTTTTGTCCTGCCTTCCAAACCTGAAAGCTCGTCGCATTTTACAAAAACAAAACTTGAAAAAGACCTCTTATGCTCAAGAGCTAAATCCTTACCGCGGTGTCGACCTTAGATGCAGTACGCCAGTCGATCCCCGATAGGAACAGGCATAATAGCACACTGGCCAGCAAGTTTTGAACACATCACCGACCAACAATATCGGCACGAGAAATGGAAAAAATGTACACGAAGAAAGGTACATGATGTAGCGGAAAGTTATAAAAGGAGAAATTAAGTTTACATGAAGTACATGAAGTAGGCGTTCACCAAAGCATGCAGTCAGTCATATGTTTCGTGGAAGTTCACTGTGGGTCGAGACCTGAGATTACGGTCTGCATCACCTTGAGTACAGCAAGCTGTAATTTCTTTTTTCTTCATAATTATCGGTCGGTTATTCATATATGTGTCAGATCTATTAAAGTGCATACACGCTACAACAGCAGTCATATCAGTGACTCCGCTCTTTGCGCATGTCGCTACGAGTGCCGGTGGAAAGCTTTAAATTGTGTCCGTTCTTGCCAGTAGCTGTGAATCTGACAGTAGTAGCTAACCAATGCACTGATCGGAGAGCAGTACCCCCCCCCCCCCCCCCTCCGCCCCGTCTTCTTTAACATGGCGGGAAAAGCTGGGGAACAGCTTACTCTAGCCCTGAATTTACAGTACTCGTATCTTCTAAGAAATCGATGTGAGATTTACTCGTACATTTGTATGCCTAGGTTATATCAGGCCAGCGACCGCTGACAGTCTTGGGCGAATGCATTGTTATTTGGCCTTCCTGTACATTCTTCAAAGTCCGTTTGTCTAACAACGTTACTCCCTGGCACTCCATCGACATGGTACTTCATCAAACATCACTGATCTAACCTGACCTTGGCTCTGGACTCTGGTGATGTCCACTCTAGCAGCAGCGTAATTTTTTGGTCGTCGGTCTGCTTTGTATCACACAGCATTGCATGCTCATTGAAGAGCATGGTTCGCCTCAAATGTCATGAAGAACGTCAGTAGCCTGTTTGAACCGTGTGTCCGCATTTTATGCATTGTACACAGTTGGAGATATTTGTCTGTTCCACCTGCGCTTTTGCTTCATGATATCACTTATACGCCCTTAAGTGTAACGATAAACAATGCAAGTCATATTGGGGTAGTGGCGCCGCCCTGACATGACTTTGTTGACTTAAGCCTACCGCATGTCTTTTAGCAGCACCTTGTTCGTATCCGGACGTAGTGTTGTCACCTCAGAAATGTCAACATAGGTCACTGACTTATGTCGAAACTGACATCGGGTTTTGGTTAAATTTGTTGGCACACCATCCACGGCTGATGCCAGTAAAAACGGTATTTCGCTCGTTGGCAAAAAAATTCCTGTTCAAAAGAAATACGGATGATGCAAAAGAATGTGAGAAGTGAAACGAGCGTTCTAAAGAAGCCCAGCCAGCCAACACAACGAAAACGGCCAAATGGGATTGTTGACGACCATGTAGACAGTGGGCATCATGGAGCGCAAAATATAATTTTGTGAGAAAAATTAGTTGGAATTTGATTATGACTTAACGACCTTCAACACAACCCTGAAAAAGCTCCACAACGAAGTGCATATAGTGGATGGGTTGGCGTTAACTCCTAGCTTGCTCCAGGTACTTTGGTCGGGTTACAGCGCTGCCAGTCAGGGCGTCAACACGAAAACGTGCTACACGCTTGCGGGAGCATGTGGTGCAGTGCTATGCGAATGATTCAAAGTCTGAAGTTTACATTGCTTTAGGAGCCAGCTCTTCGGAACTAACCGAAATTACGCTGAAACGAAATTAATAAGTACATCCAAATGAGACTTTTAAAACCTGGCCGGAACGCCCTGACTAGCTCAAGTCTCCCCTCCTACTGGTAACATGAGTTTTCCATGTGGTTTTGTTGACAATCAGGCTGGCAGCAGGAAAGTTGTCACTTTTTCATATTTACATCCAGGAATCTGGTTTTGTTTTATTACTGATTTGTCTCGCCATATCACCTCACCAGCGTGGATACTTCTGCACCAGGGTTAGTAATATCTGAGTGTGTGTGATGATGACGGCGATGCTTTAAAGTGTACCTGAAATAGTAATGAAAGCTAATTGGGGGAGGTCAAAAGTTCGGCCGTTTGTGCCCTTTTCATTTTTAAGAAAAAATGCAAAAATTGGATGCCACATATTATTGTTTACTTAACCAATCTTCGACTACGGAAAACACGCTGAGTATTATCCAGATACTGTTATGTAGCTGAATGCGGTATGATAGACGCCAACGACGCTGACTTTGGGCAGGGAGGCAAGCGGGCACCTCAATTAAAGCATGCCTTTTCGGCGTCTGGACGGTATTTGTGGACATTTCCGGTAAATCATGCGTCCAGCCGGGTTGTAAAGTATCCGGTGCTTTCTTGTCTTGTGTCAAGCAAGCTGGTACACCAAGCTGGAAAGCTGTAACAACTCACGCGCAGCCGCGAACCTCCGGTGCGGTCCTGTCACGGGGCACCTGCCACTCTACAGGGAAACTGTCGCTCACACAGTCGCATACTGGGCTCCCTTGCACCGGCTGGCGACACTGACCTCTGGCCACGGGCCTTATTTAGCCCCACCCTAATGGTACGGCGAGGCGCCGTCGTTTGCCGCTACGTCGTTCGCCACAAGATTAATTTTCCTGAAGCGGCGTAATTGCGAAAGAAACCCGCCCACGCGATCACACCCGGTACGACTTTTCTTCCGCGCTAACTTATGTACCGACTTCATACGGTTGTTATGCCATGCAGTACTTTGTGATACAATCTTTTCTGGACTATCTTTATCTCATACGATATTATGTTTGACGGCATTATCGGTGCGGTTGTATGGCATATGATATTTCGATAGCGATCTTTTGCCCTATGACATTTAAGTAGCGATGTTATGCCCCACATCTTTTGACAGCGACCTTTTGCCATAGGATAATTTGCTCCACGATCTTTGCCTAGTTACAACAAACAATAAAATGTGTTTTTGTAGTAAGCGCTGCCCGCTGCCTCATGCACCTACAGCAAGTCGCCGCAGACAATGTTTAGGTTTACCAATGCTGTTTGCGGACAAAATATCGATTTGGTGTGAAAAGTGTTGAATTGAAAGACAAATTGAAGTCTGCACACTGCGGAACGCCTCGAAAACTACGGGAACCGTATATTTTACTGCATCGTTCTCAGCAGGAGTCCAAGTGATGTTGCGCCGCGTGCTATGCAGACTGCTGGGTTTATTGCGTAATGTTACGTGCACGGGCGTTACACGGGCCGGCAATGTGATTCGGGGTCGCCTTTTTTGGAGATGCCGCTAAATTTCGGCAGGTGAAACGATCCAATAAGGGAAACTGCAGTGATGATGCCATTGCGCTTGTCATGGACGCCACTTTTCCCATTGCGGGCGCTGTGACAGGTTGCAAAGTAGGACATGTCGGTACGTGTCAATACCGTCCAAAGGAAGTCCTTGTTCAAAAAGGTGGCAGAAGGAAAAAGCTGAACTTGAAAACGGCACCGGAAATTTGGCACGGCCGGCACGGATTGGAAAATATGAGAATCTAGGTCACTGGTGCTCGTTAGAACTGAGGTGTCGTTTTCACCTGATGATTGTACGGATCTTATGATGATGTCATGCCATTTTATGATTGCTTTAAATGAACGGCAGCATGTGCCGACTGATTTCTGAAATTTGGAACTTTTGCAATTT